ACATGAGAAGAAACTTAAGATTGTTTTACTGGTCTAAAAAAGAAGAAGATTTGTTTTACTGGAAATTCCAAATAAGTTTGTGAGATAGTAGAATAAAGTGTTAAGGAAATATGCAAAAGGAAAATGGTCTCTGCTTTTGCTGTTTTGGCTCTCTTTCTCTCCCACTACTTGAATATGAGTTTCAGGACTTTTTTCTTGAATATGGGTGAGAGGTTAGCTGAGTGATGTTTTTTTACATGTGAAAAGAGTTGCCTATCAAAACTATGTTAATTGATGGCAAATGCAGAGTTGAGGATCGAGGCTTGAAGACCTATCATGGACATGCGAGTCTTTTTCTTACACGTTGTGTTACTCGATGCTTATCATATCTGTGTATGTTAATGTTTTCTTTCTATGGTAGTACATGGTTTTATGAACTATACAAAGACTCTTCTTGTATCTAAGCTAGATTTCTTATGTTTAATTAAAGAAGATAGTTTTGACCAAAAAAAAATAAATAAATTAAAGAAGATAGTAATTATGGAACATTTAGATATTTTTTTAATTGTAATAAATTTGGCCTATTTTTATAATTTTGTTTCTTTTTAGTTATTTTCATAATTTTCCTTAAATTATATTCAAAGAAAAAAAAACTGTTTTACATACATGTAACATTGTTCTGAAATTGATTTGATAAAATTTTGAAGAAGAGAATGAAAAGCACTTTGAGTTTCAAAATTATTGAATTCCAAACCATTAGCTTAAACACTTGTCATAAGTATGATCTCCTCAACATGAATGGAGCCTAGACGGTGATCAAAGATCTCTCCAGTGGTATTGTTAGTGGATACATCCATGATATGGATCCATCGATTACTAGTGGCCTTTCTATTATGAGGTGATCAATGATCTTAGTAATTCTATGCACAGTTAGTTTAACTTTACATTTTTTGGTTATAAAATAACTGTAAACATTTGATTTCATCAAAGAACACAAGACAATATGCTCACCCATACCTCAGATCCTTCAAATGAAACAACAAAATTGAATATTTTGTATAGGTTGGTCAGTCAACATCACAATATATCCATTTGTATACTTTCTTGTTTTCAGGATGGTGAAAAAAAAAAATCAAAAATGTACTTTTCATTTGTGATCAATTCAACCTACCAAGTCATAAAACCGCTAGCCACATCTGTAATTGACGAGATGATCCACTTGTTTGGGTAAACCATAAATGAACCTTTTTCAAAAAAATTCACAAGAAATGTACAAGAAAGAAGAAAAAGGAACAAAGGTAAGGCCTTTCTGTAACCAAGAAACCCAACAAAACAAGACAATTATTTAACAACGACGCGAATGGCGGGTGAGTTATATAATTGTTGATTCACCAT